TCGAGAACGGGTGGCGATATCGAGATGCGGTTTTCACTAAAATTTAGCAAATTTTAAGGTGACTAAGGGTCTGTGAAGTAAATAGTATCGTTCCATTTAACTTTTCTTCAAAAATCACAAAAATATGTAATCGCTGCAGATAACGTCCTCTAGCTCATTTGTTTTAAAGCAGACGGTCTTACTGAAAATATCTTTAAAAAGAGCATAAAATGCTCTTTCAAACAACACCGAAAACATTCAAATCGGTTGAATGGTCTAGGAGATATTAAAATGTAAACATATGAAAACGCATTGGCCTCCCCCTCCCTTATTATGACAGATATGAGAAATATCGCAAAACAAAAGCGATGCGGTATTATCCAAGCTATTAAATGATGGTGTCAAAGTTATAGCTCATCGTCTAAGTTTCTGAGATAGCGGCAACTTTATGTTTCTCAATGGCAGTTACTTAACGGGACACCCTGTACAGGATAAACTGAATAAAGCTACAATGAATTTCGAAAATTATGAAAAATTACCCAAACATTCTTTTCCGGGGAGATTGACAGCTGTAAACAAAACTGACCTATCCTAACATCCCTTCACGCTATAATTGGGGATTCAAAACAAAACTGACCTATCCTAACATTCATTCACGCTATAATTGCGGTTTCTTCATGGTATAATTAGGGTTCAAAAGAAAACCGACATTCCTTCACGCTATAATTGGGGATTCAAAACAAAACTGACCTATCCTAACATTCCTTCACGCTATAATTGCGGTTTAACTATAAACATAAACGTTCATGTCAGATTAGCAGTCAAAACTTGACCAGTTCTGTATCGATGTGGTATTTACGCGAATGCCTCGACCGCAAGCAACCTCGACTAAATTTGCCAAAATCATGTATTTAGCATCTTAGAACAAGTGGTGAACGTAAAACAAAACGATACAAGATTATTTGTTTAATAGATGATTAAACATTTCCGTTAAAGATACGCTTTAGTAAGCAGTGTCCAAACGACGGTAAATTGTAAATTAGTTAGTTATAGATTAATCGTACCCTTCCGGACATAAATTTCCAACGGTAATCCCTCAACAGTACCCCCTTTCCCTAGTTATCTGACTATATGGGGGTTGGCGTCGCGGCAACTAATTAAATACATGCGACGGTTGGCGTTGCACAACTATGGCCTATGGCAAACCGCCGGACATAGTTAACATGGCAATTGTGGATGTGGGGCGTTATTAGTGGATTTCGGTCGAGTTATCGCGTAAATAAGTAAATCTAATTCTGGGAAAATGTCGCAACGGCAGGTGCAAAAAGCAAAAAAAAACGCGCTCACGAGCGCATTAATCAAAGTAACCAAATGACGAAGAAAGCGAAGAGAAAAAGCGGACAACAATTAGGGTAATGATTAATGGCGGTTTTGTCAAAGGGGGAATCGCGGCGACCAAACAAGGCGCCAACAAAGTGCCGTACAAATTTGTCAAGCGTTGCGCGGAAAAAAGCGGATGATTAATACGGTGGTAAATCATAATTGCGGTTGCTCGTTTTGGGAATTCCGAGATACAACGTTCCTTTGTATTTTGTCCGTGGGACGCGTGAAAACTTAATATTCGACCGCGGAAATGTCGTAACGCTTCAATCAAACTTTAGGCGGGAAGTTTCTACACAGAAATTAGTACTACAAGCAGCTTAACGACGTTATACCTGGAAGAGATGCAGCCGAGGCCTGATAAAATTATATTGTTATTACCCAATTCCAAGTTCCCAACGGATTATTACCTAATTTCCCAGACGAAGAAGGTAGGAAAAAGGCATACGGCTTCATTCGAGCTTAATACCTTTCGACTGGAAGCCACCAGAGGGGAAGAGAAAAAAACGGCCAGCCATTTTCAATTTTCCTTTCTTGAATCTCTCTCGTCCCGTAACCCGATTCTAACCTCAATTCCCAACACATGCGTCCCAGGAGACGTCGCTTTCGGAGACCCCCGCCGCCGAAAAGGATCAAACGTGAAATATATATTGCTCAGGCACCCACGAAACACCCGATATAACCAACCCTCCCTCGGATTCCAAAATTTGTTTATGTGGCACGTCGCGAAATATCGAAAATCACACTCCCTTTACTCCTTTTACTCCCGTTACTACCTGATAAACCAACTTAATCCGTACAACTTTTACACGTTTAATGATGTTTTCGCGGAGCATGCAAAAGCTCTTGCCGAATTAAATGTTTTATAAGAGTGTACATATTTAATACGTTTGTGCTATTGTAAATTAACACGCTAATCAATACTCACGCCGGTTTCGTTTGTTAACACAAATCTCCTTGATGGGATCCGGAATAATCGAGTTTAAAGCGATTAGTTGCGATGGTACACGAGGGACACGCGATTACTCACGCTACAATTACGTTGCGTTTGGTGTTACATAATTCTAAATAATTTTTTATTGTTTCAGATTGATCGAAAAAAAATGGATGATTTATCACCAAATTTATCAAAACTCAAATCTAACCCAATAAGAAGTAGCAATATAAGGATGAAAATACGATCACCGACTTCTTAAGCTGATAAAATGTGACGCCACGTCCGCAGTATGTCCAAGAAGCTGACGTTGCTTCTACTCTCGGTGACGACGCTAAGCTTCCAATGTCCCAGTTCGTGCATCTGCATGTGGAAGGACGGCAAAGAGACGGTAGAGTGCATCAACAAGGATTTACTAGTGATCCCAGAAGGAATTGAGCCAGGAACCCAAGTCCTCGAGTTCTCAGGCAACAACCTAAGACTTCTACAGAAAGAAAAGTTTATAAAAATGGACCTAGTTAATATCCAAAAACTCTTTTTGTCCAGGTGTAAAATTTCCACCATTGATGATAGAGCTTTTAAAGGTTTAACCAATTTAGTGGAATTAGATCTTTCTGGAAACGTTTTGGACGCCGTTCCAACCGGTACATTCCTCGATGCTAATTCTTTGATGAAACTATTTTTGAATCATAATCCGATAAGAACGTTGAGAAAGGCATCGTTTAATCATTTACCACTTTTAAATGTACTCGAAATGAATAATTGCGAAATTTCTAGAATCGAAGACAACGCATTTTTGGGTTTGCATTCTTTAGGATGGTTACATATTAAAAACAACAAATTAACGGCAATAAATGGCACTAACATCTTTCCCTCATCACTTAAAGGAATTGATTTACAAGGAAATCCTTGGGATTGTGACTGCCACATGTTGGATTTTCACACATGGTTACAAACGTTTCCGATGTCGCAGTTAACCGAACCAAAATGTAAATCACCCGTTAAATTTATGAACAAACCAATTAGGATAATTCCCCAATCAGAATTGGCTTGTCTTCCTGATGTATCGCCAACGACGTTTTACTTAGAAATAGGCGAGGGGAAGAATGTCTCGCTGTTGTGTCAAGTTCACGCTATCCCCGAAGCTAGCGTCCAATGGTTTTTTCAAGGACAACTACTTCAAAATGATTCGATAATAGCCCCGGGAATGAGACTTATTTATTTCATCGAAGAAGGACACGTTGATAAGCGAAGCGAATTATTTATTTATAATACAAACACTGACGATAACGGAACGTTTATTTGCACGGCCGAAAATCCGGCGGGAACTGTTTATAGTAATTTTACGATTCGCGTGGTTCTCCGAGAAGAAACGAAATTCGAACCGGCTCCGTTACATTATGAGTTTTTATTGATAACGGCTACGGCTATTGGGGTTTCTTTAATCATAATAGTTGTGATTATGATTTTGAGTATAATAAAACATCATCGTTCGAAAAAAGAAAAGAAAAGTGGTGAAAGCAAATTGCACAACACAAAGGACAGCCTTCTACAGGATAGTACCGAAGATTTTTCCGATCAATCAAAGGAATCCTCAAACGTTATCCTTGTGGAACGGCAGCAGATGTTTTATAACTCCCCGGTTCCCGTCGAAGAAGTACCCCTACCAACTGCAATTCTCCCCAATCAAGTCCGAACGCCCAGTTCATTGAGACGCCTTCAGTTAGAGCAGAATCCAGACCTTATTAACGATGCTGAAAGTACTGAAAGGAGGAAGGACGGTGAAGGACAAGCATATGTGAATTTCGGAGATGCCCCTAACAGATCGATACTAAAAGGGAGCGTCAGAGATTTGTATAGGTTATCAGCAGACGTTCATTTAAACCCAGTCGGTTTACTAACAACAACAGGAGGAGATCCCAGAAATTACTACCGAACACTTCCCTATAAGCGAAGTCAAATTGGAAAGAGACAATCAGCTCCTTTGGTCAACCCGTACGTTAGAGAGGCCGAAATCGTTTACGAGTATGCCGACGTGAGATACACAGCTGATGGTTATCCGGTGAGGACCTCAGTTGAAGAAACTACTTTCAGTGAAGGATCCGTACATTCATGTTGCTCAATGCCTCCGGTTCAATGGCCCTCTTGCTTACCGGCTAGTGCCGTCAGGATAAACTCGACAAATTCAACTCAAAATACAAACGTCGAAAATGACGGTAATAAAAAATGCATAGAAACCCAAACGGATGCGGTTACGGTTGAAGAAAAAGTCGAAAATTTGTTCTTACTTGCCGACAAGAATAAGGAATTAGATAGTAGTGTTACGTCATCGTAAACGGAAATTAAACAAGAAAACGCGGAAAATAAAAAAGAAATCGTGCATTTATCTTTGTAAAATGTGATAATCGAATATAGGACAATTTTTTTTTGTTATTTGGACGAAAAGTTACTATTTTATGTACCAAGGACCGATTGAATGTAGTGAAGACGTATTTACAAAAAAAAAAAATAAAACAAAAAATAGGTGTTGAAAAAGTAATAAAAAAAATGATTAGATAGATAGCTGTTGAAACGGTGTATATGGAGTTTTATTATATTTCGATGCTGTTTTGATGTACAGGTTTTTTTTGTAAAAATGGAGAATAAAGAAATGGAGAAAATAGATTTATTGTTTTTATTAAATTAATTAATTATAAAGGTTAAACATCTTTCATAAATTTTTTTTTACTAGACCGTCGTTGAGGCGCTACAAATTGGATCAATAAAGTAATAAAACACTATTGTCAACTTTGTTTAACAGATAGTAGCCGAGGTATTATCGAGGACTATAGCTGAAGTCGCCTGCGGCCGAAGGACCTTGAATACTGAACAGATGCTCATCGAGGTCACTTGTAGCCGAGGCGCTACAACCTTTAATATTAAACAGATGATAACCGAGGTCGCGGCCGAGACACTACAGCATTGGAAAACCACCCCCTAAAGCGACTGAGTACAGGCATCAAAACGTTCGCCAGCTTTTCTGTAGACCGTATTCCAACCATCCATGTTATAAACAAAGATTCTGCACTCGTCCGCTTTTCCAGTCATCCACTGCCTTTTCAGTTACAGTAAGCAAAAGTTCTGTAATTCTTAAAAAAAAGCATCCCTCATTCATCAGTCAACTCTTTTAGATTTTATAAAGCCGTCAGAACCGACGTAGTAATATACGTTTTAATATTATTTATGTACCTTATATTTTCATATTGCTTTTATTTTTTTTGGAAAGGAAGTGGGTTGTCCAAGAAGTCTAGATATAATAAATATTTTTAATTTTCAATATGGTCACAATTAACATATTTAACNGGTTAAACATCTTTCATAAATTTTTTTTTACTAGACCGTCGTTGAGGCGCTACAAATTGGATCAATAAAGTAATAAAACACTATTGTCAACTTTGTTTAACAGATAGTAGCCGAGGTATTATCGAGGACTATAGCTGAAGTCGCCTGCGGCCGAAGCACCTTGAATACTGAACAGATGATCATCGAGGTCACTTCCATGTTATAAACAAAGATTCTGCACTCGTCCGCTTTTCCAATCATCCACTGCCTTTTGAGTTACAGTAAGTAAAAGTTCTGTAGCTGGACTCTAACACCTTGTAGTTGCTCATTAAGCTTCCCGAAGACTGCTTTGGAGGATTCTAGTGATTTTCCAAGTGATCTTCACTAGGTAGTGTTTGCATATCCATTATTTCGAAAACACTGTACTCTACGAACAAGGTCTGAAAAAAACTGTAAAGTACTCAAACTACGAAATACAGTAATACCTCGACTTACGCTTTTTTTAATTCTTAAAAAAAAGCATCCCTCAGTCATCAGTCAACACTTTTATATTTTATAAAGCCGCTATGTAACATGTTTACTCATCTGGAATAAGTGTTTCTAAATGTAAAAACATAACAATTAATGTTTATAATAAATATTATTGTTTCTCTTTAAATAGGTGCCACTTTCTTTTTTGTATTGTTGCTCGTTTCAATAAATTAAGTCTGTTCTGATGGGGCTAGAAATGCGTTGCGTAATAAAACCACTGCTGTAATGAACTTCATTACGTAACTCAAATCACCTCAAATGAGTGTGGTAATGATGACTTATCCAAGCAGTCGTAGATAAATAACTATTATGTACCTTATAATTTTATTTTGCTTTTATTTTTTTTAGAAAATAAATTTATCAAAATTAGTACTAGTATTGTTAGTATGTACATACATTTTTTTAACAAAATTAATGTTTATTAATCCTTGATTTTATAATATGTATTACACGATTTTCGATTTATGCGGCTACTCAGTCCAACTATCGCGTAACTACGGGGTATTTGTGTGTATTGTTTAAGAATTACACCAATTGGATACCCGGAAGTGGATTGTCCAAGAAGTCTAGATATAATAAATATTTTTAATTTTCAATATGGTCACAATTAACATATTTAACAGTTCCTGGCGATTTTGGAACTCTATTTAAATGAGTAAATAATTAACTAACCGGAAAAGCGAGGTTAATATAATATGTAAATAAGATAAATAAATTAAGAGAGGGATTAAAAATAATTTCATAAATTATGTTAAATATTATTCTTTCTAATTAATTAAACATTTCGAAATAAGCAAATAAACATTTAAACTTTATAAAAAAAGCAACTTTAACGAAATTGTGATGTCATATAATCTCACTATTTCGTTTATTTCGGAACAACACAAACCATTACTTCAAACAGTAAAATTTAAATTTGATAAATTCCCAACACTCGTTCTGTTGTCTCTGGTATTGTGCAAAAACTTGCGTTTTACGCGTTTGTATTGGTTTATTTGATGATCACAATTGCCCGCGTAAAATCGTTCGGGTTTTTACACACATGAAAATAACGTTTTATGCTAATGCAAATCGAATTTGCTTGCAAATGGGAAATCAAACTTCCCGTTGGTTTTGCGTTCGTCCGGTTTCCAACCGCATAAGAAAGATTAAAACGGCAACCGAAAAAGAAAGACGCAATGAACCCACCTTTACGTTGTGCCGTAAAAGTGGAAATGAAATTTTTTTATAACCCTCTTCCGGTAACATCCGGGATTTGCAATTTTTTTTCAGTGATTTTTTTTCGGACTTAACAAGATTTGCTGGAACACGTTTAAACCGGCCTCGGCGGGACATTAACATTCAAAGGGAGCTGTTATTGTTACTAAGCATTTACAGGGAAACGTTGCTTGCTTGAAAACCGCACCCCTCGTGTTTTCGCCCCTGGGGAGGAACCGGGACATTGAAACTTCTAAACTCGGTCGTCCCGGAACGATTAATCTTTCAAGTTTTCAAGGGGCCGTAATGTTATTGGTGTAATTGGGCAAGAACGTTAGAACGCGGGGACTTTGGGATAGGTTTTGGGGAAATAGCTCGAAATAACGTTACAATTAGACGGATTTAGGGCTTAAGTTGCTTGGCAAATTTAGGATTCAAAGGATGTGGTGAAAAATATAAAGAGAGCGGTCGTTTTGTGAAATCAAGGCGTATAATATAATGGCGAATGCCAATTTTTCCCTCCTAAAAATCGGAGACGGAATGAGACAGACGGCTCCTTTAAAGAAAAGGGAAAATCGAACGCAAAGGCAAAGGAATCTAGTTATTTCCACCGAGGCATAAGGGAGATTAGGCTTTAGAAAAGGCGGGGGATAAGGACGCCGGGGGCCGGAACGACGACGGAAGTGGGTTCCTGCGGGCCCGAAATTGGTTCAATTTGCCTCCGATATAGGAATACATATTGTGTGTACGAATTCCATTTTCATTGGCACTTTTAAGAAGAAAATTTAAATTTCTAAAACCCCAAAAGCTATTTGGATTGCCATTAAAATGAAAAATATTTGCGGTTTTTTTTTTTATTCGATCAAATCAATACAAAAAGCTCGATACAAATAGTAAATTGGATTAAAAAGGATGAGAAAATCAATTGCAGGTAACCAAAAATTACTTGGTTGAGTGGATTCGATCCCGAGGGTCCTCCGTCAGTCCACAAGAACGGCCGTTCCATTAAATTGTCAAACTCGAATATCCGGCGTTAATTTGACTTCTCCTGCGGCCATCGGGGGTCATTACGGTCATTCTACGCGTTCCAATTAGTAAATATAGCGGGCCGGGCGCCGTTCGGATTAGATTTAATTGAAGTTTCCCCGTTCGCCCTTCCCAGATTGATTGTATTAATTAAACTTATTGAAATTGACCCCGTTACCAATGGAAAGGGAACGAGGAGAGGGTACTTTAAAAGGTCTCTCATAACTTCAAACAAAAGGTCGTTGAGTGAAACACATTCTTCCTTCTTTCGCTTATAATTGAAAGAGTTTTTTTGAATAGGCTAAACTTTTTAATTAAAACCGTTTAAATCAGGTGGACGATCTAATAAAGTCTTATTATGTTAAAATTTTTTTCTTTTGGTAAAGAAAATTTTCGTCACGTCCTCGTTTCATTCAGACATTTTTTAAATGCTTAAAATTTCTCGTTGGAGGGAGCTAAACCGTCCCGTTTATCGATCGTCGAGTCACCTTATACATAGAAACGTGCTCATCTCCACCCTGCAAAAGCATTATTTTCAATTTAATATGTGCACCTGTAGGCACGAGTAGCGTACACTTAATATTTGCCCTTTAGAAGGACGTTTTTGATCCTTTCCGTGCTTCTATCCTTCCACTTTCCAAGCTGGATTTGTGCTGAGAGTTATGGAGTCACGTACCGCGTTCGATCGGCTGCATTTCTCCCAAGGGCCGGGTGCTTTTTCAGAGCCCTGAAACGGCCGTTGCGTGTGGGGGTTGCTTTGCCCTCGGAACAGGACAGGCCTAGCCCTGGACGAATAAATCATTTTTTCCCCTCATGAAAATTTATTGAGGAATTTATTGTATAAAATTGAATCAGGTAGGGAACTCTCCTTTCCTGTCGATCATCAAACAAAATTTACCTTCTTAAAAAAAAACCCAAACAAATTGGATTTTGAGGTAACTTTTTTTTTTATTCCTAAACCCCACCCTGTATTCGGTATTACCTCGTGTATATGTATATCTAGATAGAATATCTGAAGTCCCAGCTTTGTCGTGTTCTATTTATCTTGCAAGCCGCAGGTGAGATTTTGTCAAAGTCACTCGGACCTTTGACCCGTTCGGCTTTACAAAGAAGGAGCTTTTTACATAAAAGAGTGCCGAGAACTCTATACTTAACATTCTCGTATTTGGATATGGTAAACGTACCGTTTAAAAATTATCATCTAAAAACTAACCACCTATATAAGTTTTAAAAGAATAAATTTATTTCCAAATATTTAATCTGAGCGACAAAGGTTTTATTTAAACTCTCTTCAAAGGAAAGATCCCAACATCTCTTCCAAGGAATTTTCCTTGAACTTTCAATTACTTAAAATCTTTTTGATTACAGCATCCTTCGATTAAACCAGACACCTAGTTAATTTAAAGGACTTAATTTATTTCAAAATCAAGGATTTTTTTAAAATGTACTTTAATTTCATTTCATTTTATCGTAGCATTTCGAATGGAAGCATAGTTTTTGCTGCCGAAATACGTATTGGGGTGTATTGTAGCGCCTCGGCAAGCGTCATCGGCTTCACAATGTTTCATCCCTCAGCCTCTGTCATTAAC